TAGGCACATGCACAAATACAATAAAGTCACTTGAATTTTATTTTCTTGATTCATTTCATATCAGCGTGGTCTGTACTAAAAACAAATTATCTCCCTTAGTGCAACTCAGTTGCAGTCTAGTAAAAACCCCCTAACCCTAACCCTAACCCTAACCCTAACCCTAACCCTAACCCTAACCCTAACCCTAACCCTAACCCTAACCCTAACCCTAACCCTAACCCTAACCTAACCCTAACCCTAACCCTAAACCCTAACCCTAACCCTAACCCTAACCCTAACCCTAACCCTAAACCCTAATCAACAACACAGAAATTAGGGATCATAGTAAAATGATTGCTTTTCAAAATTCAATCATGTTTGCACAAAAATCCTTTCTAATTCGTAGGTAAAGGACAAGGTCAATAAAGACGAACTTGTTTGGCCCCAAAATACAGCAGTTTTACAAAATACTTTTAGCTATGTATTGGAAAGTAGAATACCTTTGTTTTATAAGTGTTGTCTGTTTTGGACAAAGCAAAGACACATGTTTCGGGTACAAGCATGATAGAGTCCTATATAAAGTCATATATACTGCATCTGTGCTAATTGCATTGACCGTATATTCAAATGTCCTTCGCTCTCTACCTGTTTCTAAAACTTGCACAAATAACATTGATATTTTGAGACAATGCATGGTTATTCTATATATACAATTACTGAAATCTTCAAAATTTTAGCATTTTTGTTAATTTCTTAACGGTTTCAGTCTAAAATATGAGTTGTCGCATTAGTGCTCATTCTTAATAATTTAATGTAATTTGTATTTGATGATGATACATAACATATATATATAGGTGAAGAAGGAAAACGGATGCGGCTACTGTCATTTTCGACAAAACACATCTGAAAAGTGACATATTATGGCATATTTGATACTTTTTCTTTATTTTATCTTATTTGAGCGTCTTGAATGACAAAATCAGTTCTTATCTTCCACATAAACTAATATAATCGACTAACGTAGGTACTTAAGTGTTTTAAATGAGTCCAACCTCTTTCATCCGATGTAGCTGAACTTTTTGGCCAAAATCGTACCTTACCGGATATACTCCTTTAATGAAACGAAAAAAAGTTTGAAATGTTCGTATTTTGTCTTATAGTTAAATGTTACTTACCACTTGTCTTCCTTCTTTTTTATTTCCTTCCTGTATATATCAAACAGAAAAACTAAATCAAAAGACGAATACAAATTGTCACTTAAGGCTGTATGGGAATCTAAAGCAAGATCGATAGAATTTGTTCATACTTTGCCTGGCGTAGTATATATTGATATATTTTCAAAAATATAATAAAAAAGATGGGTCACCGTGTATTCTCTCAATCTACAGGAAGTGACAAAATGACACATTTTGTACGGATTATACAGGAAAAAACATCATTATGTGATTAGAAGTTAAACTAAATAATAGAATTGTAAAAAAAATACGAAAAGATAGAAAATGCGTTTAGAATATCAAAAGAAAAAGATAGGACCACCGTGCGTTTTTTCCGGCTAAAATGCAAAATAGCAAAATTAAGTGTAGATTCCTTCACAAAATGCACTATTTCAGAGTTTATACATCCCCTTAACATGCCAAATTAAAAACATTAGAAATGAAGCAAAAAATATTAAAATGTATAAGTTATAATCTTATTAATTTGTTCTTTTAGGTGCAAATCAATATTAGTTCCATCATCAAATTTTGTTAACTTGATTCAAATCTGGACCTTAGACGCTCTGTTGTTTACAATCCGAAATGACTGTCACAGATAATTATTTAATCAATGTATTACACAAATCACTTATACCTTATGAAAAAGAAAAAAAAAAGTCAGGATAAACTATAAAAATTTCGAATAGACGTAACATTTGAATTAAATTATCAATAAAGGTATACTATCACGCAAGGCCTTCATTCACTATCGACTGCATGTAAACAAAAGACGAAAATAAAAGCCAAACATATTCTTGAATATAACTTAAGGTTAAACGAAAAATTAACGTTAACCTTAACCTTAACCGTAATTTTAACTCTAATATTAACCGTAACTTTAAATAATAGCCAACAAATCCTTCAATGAAAATTAAGGTTAAACAAAACATTTGATTTAAAATTAACCTTTACTTTAAACCTAACATCTACCTCCAATATGTACCTATCTCGATAACAGTCAGTCATTACTTCATCTTAGACAACCTTGAGTATTCTCCACGGCTACCACTTTTATGATATAGCCAACGTATTTTTGAACGTAAAATTAACCTTAATCTTAACCTTGACCTTAACCTTAACTGTTACCTAAAGAAATAGCCAACATATGCTTGAATAAAGCTTAAGGTTACACGAAGAAAAAACATTACCCTTAAACTTGTCCTTAACCTTAACCCTTACCATAACCTTTACCTTAAATAATAGCCACCATATGTTTAAATACACATTAAAGTGACACGAAAAAATAACCTTAACCTTAACCTTAACCTTCAGTAATAGCCAACATACGCTGCAATAAAGCTTAAGGTTAAACGAAAAATAAACCTTAACCTTAAACTTAACCCTAAAATTGACCGTTACATAAAATAATAGCCAATATATCCATCAATAGAATATAAGGTTAAACTAAAAATTAGACTTAACCTTAACCTCAACTATAAACCTTATATTTAACTCCTACATGTACCTATCTCGATAACGATCAGTCATACCTTCATCTTAGACAACCTTGAGTATTCCCCACGGCTACCACTGTTATGATATAGCTAACGTATTTTTGACTGAAAAATTAACCATAACCTTAACCTTGACCTTTACCTTAACCGTTACCTAAAGAAATAGCCAGCATTTGCTTGAATAAAGCTTCAGGTAACACGAAGAAATAATCTTAACCTTAAATTTGTCCTTAACCTTTACCCTAACATTAACCCTAACCTTAAATAATAGCCAACATATGCTTAAATACACATTAAAGTGACACGAAAAAATAACCTTAACCTTAACCTTATCCTTCAATAATAGCCAACATACGCTGAAATAAAGCTTAAGGTTAAACGAAAAATAAAACTTAGTCTTAACCTTAACCCGTAAATTGACCGTTACTTAAAATAATAGCCAATATATCCTTCAATGGAATATAAGGTTAAACTAAAAATTAGACTTAACCTTAACATCAACTATAAACCTAATATTTAACTCCTACATGTACATATCTCGATAAAGATCAGTCATACCTTCATCTTAGACAACATTGAGTATTCCCCACTGTTATGATATAGTCAACGTATCTTTAGATTATGCTTAAGGTTAAACGAAAAATTAACTTTAACCTTAATCTTTACCTTAACCTTAACCTTAAGATCAACCTTAACTTGAACCTTAACCTAACAAAATAGCCAACATATGCTTGAATAAAGCTTAAGGTTACCAGAAAAAATAACCTTAACCTTAACCTCAACCTTAAATGATAGCCATCATATGCTTGAATAAAACTTAAGGTTAAACGAAAAATAAACCTTAACCTTAACCTTAACTTAACCTTAACAGTACCCTTAACCCAAACATTAATCGTAATTTTAAGAAATAGCCAACATATCCTACAATACAAAATATGGTTAAACTTTAGACTTAAAATTGACCTCAACTTTAAACCTAACATCTAACTTCTACATGTACCTATCTCGATAACGATCAGTCATACCGTCACTTTAGACAACCTTGAGCATTCCCCACGGTTACCACTATTATGATAGAGTCAACGTATCTTAAAATAATGCTCAAGGTGAAATGAAAAATTAACATTAACCTAAACCCTAACCGTAACTTAAAATAATAGCCAACATATGCCTAAATAAATCTTAAGGTTACACTAAAAAAATAATCTCAACCTTAACCTTAACCCTAACCTTAAATAATAGCCAGCATATACTTGAATAAAGCTTCAGGTTAAACGCGAATTTAATCTTAACCTTAACCATAACACTAACCTTAACCGTCACTTTAACTTCAAATAAAAGCCAACACATCCTTTAATAAACCTTTAGTTTAACTAAAAATTTGAATAAAAATTGACGTTAACTATCAACTCCTTAATGTACCTATCTAGATAATGATCAGACATACCGTCACCTGAGACAACCTTGAGTATTCCCTCACGGCTAGAACTGTTATGATATAGCCAACGTATATTTAAATAATGTTTATGGTTAAACAAAAAATGAACCTTAACCTTAACCTTAAGAAAAAGAAAACATATGCTTAAATAAACATTAAGGTTACACTAAAAATAATCTTAACCTTAACCTTGACCTTAAATAATAGCAAACATATGCTTCAATAAAGCTTCAGGTTAAACGTAAAATTAATCTTAACTTTAACCTTAACCTTCACTTTAACCTTAAACCAAACCTTAACCCTAACCTTACATGATAGCCGACATATCCCTCAATAGAACACAAGGTTAAACTAAAATTTAGAGTTAAAATTGACCTCAACTATTAACATAACATCTAACTCCTACATTGAACTTTCTCGATAACGAGCCGACATACGGTCGACCTACCATCAATCTTATTCAAAAAACGTCATCAATCTTATTCAAAAAACCTTTCTTCTTTAAATAAACATGTCAAAAGTCATGTTCTGTATACCTTAACCCACGCAAGGCCTACATTCACTATCGACTGCATGTAGACAAAAGATGATTTGAACTATATGTAAACACAGATTATCAATGTGAAAGTAAGTGTGTTTAGTTTACGTGTGAAATACACTTATAAAAAAACAGAGTTTAGGTCAATGTGAGCACATCCTTAGGTTTTAGTTTTCTATGTTGTTTCTTGTGTACTATTATTTGTCTGTTTGACCTTTTCCTTTATAGTCATGGCATTGTCAGTTGTTGTTTTTTTCGATCTGTTAATCTGACTGTCTCTCTGGTATATTTCGCCTCTCTTTTAATGTTAATTGTCATTCTTTCTTTAATAATGAAATGTTACTTACCACTGGTCTTTCTTCCCCTGTATTTCCTTCCTGTATAAATCCAAGAGAAAGATTTATTCAAAAGAGGGGATAAATGTCACTAAATGTCACAAGTTAGCATTAATTCAATATCATCATGATACTAACTGATACTTTTCGAATAAGAAGTAACGGAAATACGTCCAAACACACTGAGTTCTCAAACTGGAATGAAAAGGTTTACCTTGAGTTTATAGGATGTACTACAAGGGTATCGTCGTTGATATGAAGTTTTTTTCAAGTTTATATTGGCTGACCCTTATGTCTTCATAAGCATATATATTTTTTCTTTGCAATTTACAAATTACAAAGAAACTGGGAATCAAGCTAAATGGTTGCTCTTTAGATGGGTGTAATTTATTCTTTACTTTTTACAATAATTTTTGCGCGAAAAAAAAATTGTCTTTCTTTTTTTCAGCTAGATTAATGGAAATGACGTTTAATGTTAATATTATTTTTATCTAAAAAAAAAAGTCAAAGTTACTCACCACTTGTCTTTCTTCTTCGGTATGTCCCTTCTGTATAAAAGAGAAATATTAAATCAAAATAAGAATGCAAATTATCCATAGATGTCGCAAGTTAGTACTAAGTCAATGTTATTATGAAGATCACTAAAACCTTTCATGAAAGAAGTAATTGAAAATACGTCCAAGCATTATGAATTCTCAAACTGGAATGACATTTTTAACATTGAGCCTAAAATAGGAACTACTATATTATCGTAGTTGGTATGTTTTTTTGCAATTTTTATCGGCTGACCTTTATTTCTTTTCAGAAGTATACGATTCTGGTTTTTTTTATTCTAAATATAGCAACAATACAGAAACTGGGGATATAAGTTAAATGATTGCTCTTCAACATTGATTTGATTTATTCTTTACTTTTAACAATATTTTTTACCCAAAACTTAAATAAAAACATGCTTTACAAATTGAGGCAAATCTACAGAAATGAAAATAAGTTTTTTTTTAACTGACGTTTACTATTATTTCCTGTTTGTTTTGATAATAGCAAGTTACTAACAGCAACAACAAAAGACTGGCGATGTAGACTAAATGGTGGCTCTTCAATTAAGGTTTAATTTATTCTTTACTTTTAACAATCATGTTTGCACAAAAACGCCAGAAAAGGACAAGTCTTACAATTTTAAGCAAATTTCGGCAATTGACAATGTAAGGGTCTTTTAGAACTGGTGTTTAATGTTGATACCCGTAATTTTTTTATATATATTAAAACGTTATTTACCACTGGTCTTTCTTCTTCTGTATTCCCTTTCTGTATAAATCCAAGAGGAATATATAATCAAAATACGGATAAAAATGTTTACTTAATATGAGGAGTTATAACATTAAAATCACTACTGTCTTCAGAAAAAGAAGGAACAGAAATGCGTCCAAACAATCTGAATTCTCAATCTATAATGAAAAGTTTAACATTTAGCCTACGAGAGGAGCTACAGTTTCGTCATGGTTGGTGTAAGTTTTTTTTTTCAATTTTTGATAGGCTGACCTTTTAAGTCTTTACAAATGTTTTACTTTTTTTCTTTGCAATTTGGCAACAACAAAAACAAAGCTGGAGATATAAGCTTAACAATTATTTTTGCACGAAAACACAGAAAAAGACATGGCTTACAACTTTTTGCAAGCTGACGGTTTAGAAAAAAAATGTTTTTGAACTGACGTTTAATTATATTTACATATTGTTTTAATAATAGCATAACATTACTTACCACAGGTCTTATTTCATCTGTTTTTCCTTCCTGTATAAAACCAAGAGGAATATGTATTCAAAAGACGCACCAAATAATTTCACACAAGTTATTATCAAGTCAATGTTTTCATGAAGATCAGTAATACCTTTCGAACGAGAAGTAACAGAAAATACGTCCAAGCACTCTGAATTTCAAAACTAGAATGAACTGCATAACATTGAGCCTATGGGAGGTACTACTAATTCATCGTCGTTGATATGACATGCTTGCTAGTTTTTTATCGGCCTACCTGTTATATCTTCAGAAGTATCAAATGGGAATTTCAGCTAACACATCATTGACATTAAAAGCCATTTATTTAAAGATTTATGGTTATAAACAGTTATTAATTGTGGAGATTGATAAATTCAAACACAATTTATAATTTTTGGAGGTTGTAAAACTTGAACAAAGTAGGAAGTTTCTTCTGATTACATCAGTGTCGATAAAAGTTTAATCCTATAAAGTTTAAGAACTAATGGTCATTTGATTTACAACCAATCAGTTTTAAACTTAATTAAATTAGGTTATATATTTCAATCCCGGACAGTTCTAAAACGGTGTTTCTTTCGCGATTTTATTTTATTATTTTCCGAAAATACTATGGAAAATAAATGATCTGAGCCGTTCCTGAAAATTTTGGTGTAACATTTTTCAATTATTAAAGTTTTGTATCGTTATAATCTTAAAACTCATTTCAAAAAAATTATCTTAATTGACACCATTAGAATAACAAATTACAAGTATATTTGCTGCATTTACTTCAATAAAATAAGAAATATTTGTAATTTTAAACAATGCGAACAACATTTTTTTATATTTTTTTCTGATATTCTTTAACCGTAATTAAAAATAAATAATCATTAACTTCATTAAGTACAACAATACAATGGTGATCAATGATTATGATTAAAATAAAGAAATAATTGCATATTTATTTAACAAAAACAAAAGTTTATGCATATGTATCCTTTAATTGTTTTCATTTTATTCAAAATTAATTATCAAAAGACATTTATAAAGAATGATTGCAATTGAGCATATTTTATGAAAAAAAAAAACAATCCTGAAGTACAAAAAAATACTGAAATCTTATGTTGGCTTCTGATTTGTATTAACAATAACTGCATTCTTGTTCCACTGAAACAAAATTTTAGGTATTTAAATTCTGATTATATTTTAATTCTAAAGAAAGACTTATATTGAAGCCTTAAAAAATATTCGTACAAATAAAAAACCTTCATCTTTTATCAAAAGAAGAATACTTTTGCTAAATCTAAACAAAGCAAACAACATTTAAGTATATTTTCTCTGATAATCTTTTAATTTTATGGGAAAAAAACCTAAACAATAAAAAATACAAACATCCAATGGCAGTTAATAATTTCCATTAACATGAAACAAATCATTGTATTCTTGTTAAACAAAAACAAAACTTTATGCATATCTATCCTTCAAAAATTAACATTTTATACAAATTAACGTATGAAAAGGCATGTTAAACGACTCATTGCAATTGAGGTTGCATTATTTGAATTATAAAAGAAATATTTGCATTTCAGGCAATGCGTACAACAATTTAGTATCATTTCTCTAAGATTCAGCCTATTCAATGGAAAACAACCAATCCTGATGTGCAAAAAGTACTGAAATCTTATGGTATTTTATAATTTTTATTAAAATAAAGCAATAACTGAATTCTTTTTCAACAAAAACCAAACCTTAAGTATTTTAATTCTGATTATATCTAAATTCTTTAAGCGACTTATATAAAGGCTTTTGAAATAACTAATTCCAAATAATAAAGCATAATTTTTTTTTCAAAATTTACACAATGCAAACAGCATTTTAGTATATTTTCTCTGATATTCTTTTAACTTTATGAAAAAACAACCAATCCTAAACAAAATAAAGTGCAAAAATCCAATAGTGGTCAATAGTTTTTCATGAAAATAAAGAAGTGATTGCATTCTTGTTCAACAAAAACAAAAGTTTAAGCATAACTCTCCTTCCAAAATTAACATTTTATACAAAATAACTTATCAAAAGGTATATTAAAGGCTGATTGCAATTAAAATTGCATTATTTTTAAGATTAGAAGAAATATTTGCATTTTAGGCAACGCATAAAAAAATTTAGTATCTTTTCCCTTAAATTCAGCCTATTTAATGAAAAACAACCAATCCTGATGTGCAAAAAGTATTGAAATCTTATGGCAGTTTATAATGTGTATTAAAATAAAGCAATAACTGCATTTTTTTTCAGCAAAAACCAAACTTTGAGTATTTTAATTCTGATGAGATCTAAATTCTTAAAGAAGACTTATATGAAGGCTTTTAGAATAACTAATTCCAAATAAAATAGCATAATTTTTTATCAAAAGAAGACTGATTTTGGTAAATTTGAACAATGCAAACAACATTTAATTATATTTTCTCTGATATTCTTTTAATTTTATGAAAAATCAACCAATCCTTAACAATATAAAGTACAAAAATCCAATGGTGGTCAATAGTTTCCATGAAAATGAAGAAATGATTGCATTCTTGTTCAACAAAAACAAAAGTTTAAGCATATCTATCCTTAAAAAAATAACATTTATTCAAAATAACATATCAACAGGCATATTTAAAGGCTGATTGGAATTAAAGTTGCATTATTTGAAAAATGAGAAGAAATATTTGCATTTTAGGCAACGCGTAAACAAATTTAGTGTCTTTTCCCTTAAATTCAGCCTATTTAATGAAAAACAACCAATCCTGATGTTCAAAAAGTACTGAAATCTTATGGCAGTTTATTATGTGTATTACAATAAAGCAATAACTGCATTCTTTTTCAACAAAAACCAAACTTTGAGTATTTTAATTCTGATGAGATCTAAGTTCTCACATAAAACTTATATGAAGGCTTTTGAAATAACTAATTCCGAATAAAATAGCATAATTTTTTATCAAAAGAAGAATAGTTTTGGTAAATTTGAACAATGCAAGCAATATTTTAGTATATTTTCTCTGATATTCTTTAAATTTTATGAAAAATCAACCAATCCTAAACAATGTATAGTACAAAAATCCAATGGTGGTCAATAGTTTCCATGAAAATAAAAAAAATGATTGCATTCTTGTTCAACAAAAACAAAAATTTAAGCATATCTATCCTTCAAAAAATTACATTTCATTCATAATAACTTATCAACAGGCATATTTAAAGGCTGATTGCAATTAAAGTTGCATTATTTGAAAAATGAGAAGAAATATTTCCATTTAAGACAACACGTACAAAAATTTAGTGTCTTTGCCCTTAAATTCAGCCTATTTAATGAAAAACAGCCAATCCTGATGATCAAAAAGTACTGAAATCTTATGGCAGTTTATAATAAGTATTTAAATAAAGCAATAACTGCATTCTTTTTCAACAAAAACCAAACTTTGAGTATTTTAATTCTGATGAGATCTAAATTCTTAAAGAAGACTTATATGAAGGCTTTTAAAATAACTAATTCCAAATAAAATAGCATAATTTTTTATCAAAAGAAGAATAATTTTGGTAAATTTGAACAATGCAAACAACATTTAAGTATATTTTTTCTGATATTCTTTTAATTTTATGAAAAATTAACCAATCCTTAACAATATAAAGTACAAAAATCCAATGGTGGTCAATAGTTTCCATGAAAATGAAGAAATGATTGCATTCTTGTTCAACAAAAACAAAATTTTAAGCATATCTATCCTTCAAAAATTAACATTTTTTTCAAAATAACTTATCAAAAGGCATATTTAAAGACTGATTATAATTAAAATTGCATTATTTGAAAAATGAGAAGAAATATTTGCATTTTAGGCAACGCGTAAACAAATTTAGTGTCTTTTCCCTTAAATTCAGCCTATTTAATGAAAAACAACCAATCCTGATGTTCAAAAAGTACTGAAATCTTATGGCAGTTTATTATGTGTATTACAATAAAGCAATAACTGCATTCTTTTTCAACAAAAACCAAACTTTGAGTATCTTAATTCTGATGAGATCTAAGTTCTCACATAAAACTTATATGAAGGCTTTTGAAATAACTAATTCCGAATAAAATAGCATAATTTTTTATCAAAAGAAGAATAGTTTTGGTAAATTTGAACAATGCAAGCAATATTTTAGTATATTTTCTCTGATATTGTTTAAATTTTATGAAAAATCAACCAATCCTAAACAATGTATAGTACAAAAATCCAATGGTGGTCAATAGTTTCCATGAAAATAAAAAAAATGATTGCATTCTTGTTCAACAAAAACAAAAATTTAAGCATATCTATCCTTCAAAAAATTACATTTCATTCAAAATAAATTATCAACAGGCATATTTAAAGGCTGATTGCAATTAAAGTTGCATTATTTGAAAAATGAGAAGAAATATTTCCATTTAAGACAACACGTACAAAAATTTAGTGTCTTTGCCCTTAAATTCAGCCTATTTAATGAAAAACAGCCAATCCTGATGATCAAAAAGTACTGAAATCTTATGGCAGTTTATAATAAGTATTTAAATAAAGCAATAACTGCATTCTTTTTCAACAAAAACCAAACTTTGAGTATTTTAATTCTGATGAGATCTAAATTCTTAAAGAAGACTTATATGAAGGCTTTTAAAATAACTAATTCCAAATAAAATAGCATAATTTTTTATCAAAAGAAGAATAATTTTGGTAAATTTGAACAATGCAAACAACATTTAAGTATATTTTTTCTGATATTCTTTTAATTTTATGAAAAATTAACCAATCCTTAACAATATAAAGTACAAAAATCCAATGGTGGTCAATAGTTTCCATGAAAATGAAGAAATGATTGCATTCTTGTTCAACAAAAACAAAAGTTTAAGCATATCTATCCTTCAAAAATTAACATTTTTTTCAAAATAACTTATCAAAAGGCATATTTAAAGACTGATTATAATTAAAATTGCATTATTTGAAAAATGAGAAGAAATATTTGCATTTTAGGCAACGCATAAACAA